GCCTCTCTGAGTCTTGGCAAGAAAGGTGGGCATGTGGGAAAGACCGGGACAAAGCACCTCAGCCTTAGGAAGATGCTTTATTTTATTTTTCAATTTGCACTTTCTGCCATTCCTGGAAATGCGTGAAGTGGTTGCCCTGACCTGCCTGGTTAGGGGAAGCAGCCCCTTTGTCCCACTCAACCCCTGCCCCTCTCTGCCATGCCAGGATGTTCCACTCCCTGAGGGGCTCCCAGGACACACAAGCTGAAGCCCCATGCACCAAGATCAAGCAGCTCCATCCCAGCCCCACACATCAGCTCCAGGCTGATTTATAGAAATCCAATGGCTGGGGCTGACAGTGCCTCCTGCCAAACCTCATTAACGGCTGGCCCGGGAGAAGGCAAACAGCTCATGCGGCAACAAGGAAATCCTTGTTTAAGCGTTTCTGGCCATGCAAGGCCCTTCACCCCATGCCCAGGGGAGAAGGAGGAAGAGGAGGATGTGAGGAGGAGGTGCAGGCTACAAGCCCCAAATTGACACCACCCTGGCATTCAGGAGAACGGGATGGGACATATCAGGGTGTGACAGGGAGAGAGCCCCAGGATGGGATGTGAGCCGGGGAAAGCAGGAAGCTACATGTACATGATGGGGGCAGAGGGCTTCCTGCAGAACACGTCCTTCCCCTCAGTGCCCCCTGCTCCCACCAGCACCAGGTTCCCCACACAAAGTGCTGGCCATGGGTGCAGTGAGCTCCGGGCAGCGCGGGAGGCCGTGGGAGCCAGAACCCGTGTGCCTGTCCAGAGTGGGCACGGGACACGGGGCACAGCTGACCTGTGGACCCGGCACCGGCGCTGCTCCAGAGCAGCATCAATGACCTGCATCTGCCTGCTCCACGTGTGGCTCAGGATCTATTTCATCATCGGGAGAAAAGCATTTACTGCCAATAAACGGGCTAATTAATTCTCCTCAAAGACCTCTCAATTATTCATCTCGGGCCACAGAGAAAACAATTACAGCACTTACCTCAGCCCTGGCTCAGCCAGTGTTGCAGCTGGTGGCAGGCAGGGCCCTGCGGGGACGGCCCGGCACAGCTCTCGGCACGGACCCCCGGTGCCTGGCCATCCCCGGGTCTGCCCACCCGGCCAGAGCGTCCCCGCGGAGCGCTGGAGCAGGGATGTGGAGGCGGCACAGCCACCAGCCTTTAGCCGTGAGCGGCTCCAGTGCTCTGCCAGGTTGCCCCAGAGCTCCCCCAGCACCAGAGCTCTCCTAGGGACCCCCGGCTGCTCCCTCCCCACAGCCCCCAGGCAGCCCGCACTGGGGTACCCCGTGCAGAGGGGCTTTTCCCCTGACGGTTCTCCAGCTCCTTGGCCCTTGGGATGTTCCGTCTGTTCCGCAGAACAACCCCTGTTCAGGTGCACCCTAAGAAGGGAAACCCTCGGCATGGGGGGCACGATGGGCTGGGGGGCCCTTCCCGGCACTGCCGGAGCCCACGAGGGAGCTGTCCCGGTGTGTGCCGGTGTGTGCCGGTGTGTGCCGGTGTGTGCCGGTGTGTGCCGGTGTGTCCCGGTGCTGAACGGGTCAGGCTGCCCCCGCACTGGCTCCTCCGGGACCCCGGGCAGCGGGGCCATCGCCGCCCGGGCCAGGCGGGCAGAGTCCCCCGCAGGTCCCCGGAGCCGCCAAGCCGGGCCGGGCGGGCAGAACCCGGCGGGTCCCGGGCTCGAAGAAGCGGCCGGCCGGGCCGGGAAGGGTTAAGGGCGGCCGGCGCCCCCCCGGCGCGGAGGCCGGGCCTGTCGGGAAGCCGGGATCTCTGCGGCGGTTTTACTGGAAAAGTCGCTGCCGGCGGAGGGGGGGCAGCCGCGGCCTCGCAGGCTGGGGACGGGGCACCGGCCGGGACCACGCGGCCACCGGGCCCCGGCAGCCGCCCGTGCGGGGCTCCCACGGAGATTCGCTGGGGCAGCCGCGGCTCCCGCACCGGACGCGGCCCCGCCAGCCCCGGGACTGTGTCCGTCGCGGGTCTGTCCCGGGCCGAAGCTCGGCCGGCGCCGTGTGCCGCAACTCGGGACGTGTCACCGGCACCGGGACCGGGACCGGCTGAGCCCGGAGCCAGCGCTCCCGGCGCTCCCGGGCGTCGCGCTGCCGTTCCCGGCCGCAGGGAACTGCTCGGCTCCGTGGCTCAGATCCCTCGGGGGACGGCAGCTGCCTCGGCCCAGGTGGGAGTGGGGCCCTCCAGAGCGGGCAGCGCCAGTGCCACCCCGTTGGGACGAGCCGCGGAGCCCAAAGGACAGACAGGGTGAGCAGCGCGGGCAGCATGGACAGTGTGGCCGCAGGACTAAGGCAGCCCGACAGGAAAACACCCCGAGCTCATGGCGAGCATATTATGGTCACTGCCAGGTCCTGAGTCAGCCCTTGGCACCCAACACAAGACCCCCAGGGCATTGCCTGGGCCACTGACAGCTCCATGGCCGCAGCCACCGGCTCTGCTTAGGAGGCAGAGCCCATTGCCAGCCTGTCCCAGGCAACCACATGTGCCAGGGGATGGGGGCTCAGCCCCAGCCCGGTGGTGCCCCGGGAGCTACAGCAGCGTGTTCCCCCATCCCACAGCCCCTCCCGAGCCTCCTGCAGCCGGGATGCGCCAGGGCTCAGCGCTGGGGACGTGCAGATCAAGCGGCTGGGCTGGGCAGGCCCGGGATGGGGCTGCCAGTGGGGCTGGTAGCAGGGGGGGCCCAGCTCCGGGAATCGGCCCCTGTGGTTGCCAGGCCTGTGGTAGGGAGGGGGGAAACCCGATCCTCCGCGGTGGGATCTGGGCTCCACTCCCGGCTCCCCAGCCAGGCCTCAGCTGCTAATTTTAGCCCTGGGGAGGCACGACTGGAGCAGGAGCTGAGCCCAGCAGGGCAGGGGCTTAGGCCACCACAGGAGCTGGTGCGGCCAGGTGGTGACTGCAGTCCTATGGTGCAGTCTGGTCCTGGGTGAGGCCCCCGCTAGTCCTCAGCTGCCAGCCAAGCCCATGGCCAGATGCTGGCACTGCCCACCCGCTGCCCAGCTCCTGCCGCCTCAGCTCAGCCGCTCCACATAAGGCCACAAGCGCTTCCCTGGTCCTGGTCCCACCGTGGCCCTGCTGGGTCACA